TAAGGTTTGTATTACCCGTGCAAAATAAATAAGTCAAATCTACCCACGTTATAATTTTTGACCAGTATCTTAGTTTCATCGCCAAGATGGCAGTGCGTAAAGGTGTTGTTAGGAACTGTTTATATACTAGTTCATTATTTATCCTCACGTTTTTAACCATCATAGCACTTGGAATTTCTGCATATGATATAATACGTAATGCCAAGGATAAGGAATATTATCCTTATGTTTATATTGCTAGTGGAAGTTATTTTCTTACGGTAGTATTAAAAAAAAAAAAAAAGCTTCAATTTATTAAAGTCCAAAGTGGTTTTTTTTACATTCTGATATCATTTTATATGACAGGGCTTTGTTACTGTTTTACTTGGATGGTGTCGTCTGAATCTTGTAAAAAATGCTTTAGCTAATATACCAAAATCTTCCATGCCAATCAAAAATAGAGATTTACCCAATGTTAGTTCTCATCAAGGAAATAGTTCTATACTGTGTATATACGTAGCTCTGATTATAACGATACTGCCCGAGACATTTACAAAAAAAAATATTACATTGAGTTTTACCGACATTTATATTAAAATTTCGACAAAAAAAAAAAAAATTGTCGATATAAAAATATTTTACTATGATGTCTATGATGTCGTTATTTCCAGATATCGGTATAACTAGAGTAAATGTATAACCAGAGTAATGTGTATTCTTATTTATTAACATTTAATAATTCTGTTTAATAGTCTGTGTTTAATCTTATTACTGGTGAGTTGACACGTGTGTCCATGATTGCTTGGACAGGTGAACCGAAGCCCGAAGATGTTAATCTGCCAGGGTGGGGTCGACCAGGTTTGCATAGTCTTATTAACAATTTTTGATTATAATTGAAAAGTCAATAACGAACGAATATTGTAAATCAAAGGTTCCGACTTTGATGATATTCATTTCAAATCATCAATGATAAATACATTTTCTCTAATAGGTTGTAATAAAATTCTCTCATAATTGATGTATATGTAAATTCTCTTTACTAATATACTTTTTTTGTTGTATTAAAGAACAAACTGCTTTAAAAAAAAACTCGTCTTTAAAGCGGCAGCCTTCAATGTCCGTACAACGATACATTGATCTCTTAATTGAACATAGAGTCATAGACCGCGGCTTAGGCCATGCTTATGTAGAAGGCTATGAAAGAGCGCGCTTTAGTGAGGATGAAGTTCCTCAAGAACAGTATACAGAGTTCATGAAACTTGTTCTTCAATTATTACGCCGATTAGGATATAATGGAGATTAGGGTTGCGACCCGTACGTTTTTGAATAATGACATTAAGTACATAGTTTAGATTTGAGAATAACAAATTTATATCACATTTTTTGGACAATAGTATCAAACTCAAATTTATTAATCAATGCTGCAAATCAATTAGACAGGATATGTTTAGAGTTCACGGCCATTAAGTCTAAAGGCATACAGACATTTAAAATTAATATAGATTTAATATTATACTGTATATATACTAAATAATATTAATATTAATTAATAATAGATTAATACTTACTATAAATGCTGAAATAAAGCTATTTAATATATAAAAATTTTTATTAAATATTAAATTTCAAAATTTATTTTATTATTATATATTGGCATGCAAATAGCATGAAAATTGAAATTTGGCATGCCAAATTCTTTTAGGGTGCCATGAACTCTAGTTATGTTGAGTAAAAGCGATAGGTAAGACTTAATAGTCATGTATACAATAGAAAACAATTATGAAAGTACAGTATATTCAAAATAAAATAAAATTATAAAATTTCGAATTGTTGATTAATCCGTAACTGATAATTGATAAGCAAATTACTTAAAACTTTATATATAGAGTACAATTTTATAATTTTTCGCGAAATTCAAACGGAGCACGGTTTAATATTTTCGGATAAATTTTACAAGGACCGATATTATAACTCTATAAATAAAGCTACGAAGGTAGTTTTCTCGTTTAAATATAAAATGAAAGACTTAGTTTTTAGATTCTTCAAGTTTAAAAGAAATGATTTCGTAAGTTTGCTTGTAGAACTATAAGATTGGTCTCTATAAATTTATCCTAAATACATCTACTTAAATTTCGCGAAAAATTAAACTTTTTATGTCACTACGTATTATAAAATTAATAGTTAAAATAAATTTTATATGACTTAGACATAGTTTTGATTTACAATAACGTTTACAGATTACTGAATTAACACGAAATCTATGAAAGCAAAGGCTAACTATTTGAACCAATATAAAATTGTCTAAACAGTTACGGGATGGTCATTTGGTCAAAACTCAAATGTCCCTAAGTCATCAAATAATGATTAGTCATCAGTTTTTTTAGGTCATCCATCACGCCAATAGCAGATAGTCTTTGATAGCTTATATAAAAAAAACTTTTCATTATAGTTGAGAAATGTCGCTATATATAAAGATCAAAATTATACTAAGGAAATTGGGTATTGTGCATTACGTGTACTGTAAAAATTTCATGTAATTTAATGACCCTTTATTAATAATCTTTGAACATTTTATGTACAGTAGCCTCCAAAAGTTTGTCACCATACACAAAAAATATCGTTAACTAATAGTGATAGACTTTTGTGTATTGTAACAGTGATAAACTTTTGGAGGATACTGTACCTACGTACGAAAAAATTAAATTCTTTTTTATAGATTCAAAAAAGCATTAATAAAGGGCATTAAAGTTTTATAATAGATAATTGTCATTATGAACAAATTTAATCGAATTGACTTTATATAAAATATCTGATAAAGTGATGTGTTTAAAATTTTATTTGATAATCAATTTTTGAATTTTTGATTGGCCAAAAGGTATCATTTGTCATTAGAGTTCATTAGAGTCATTCCATTTCTGATCAGGCAGAGAACTATCTACTGTCAAAAGTTTTTGTAAAACTCACGTGGTGTGTAGAATTTCATATAGACCAATCAGGATGTTATTTAAGAATGTTGTAAGAATGTCCATTGACCAAAAAGTCATTATACGGCCATTGTTAGCTAAATTAATGCAGGCCGGTTTATTAATTTCGGTCAGATTTATGCGCAAATGGTAATAGGTCAGATGATAACATACAGAAATATATCTGATATATATATATGCTTCACTCTTTCAAAATTTAATTTCAAACATTTCTGCATTTACAAAGTACATTAAAATGAAAGAACAGGTTCTAGAAACGGCTCCTCGAAAAATGTAAGATTTAAAGGACACCATAAAACATTAAAAGTTTTTATTCACTGCACCTATTAAAATGAAATTTCATTACTGTTGTTAGCAAACATATCCAATTCAGTGTGCTTACTCCACAAGAGATCGTCAAAAATGCACAACTGGCCATTACTCATCGCGATCTTTTCAATGAAAATCGAGCTCCAATGGAAAATGGTGTCTTAGATACGCGCTTGGTTTGTTGATTTATCAAATTATTACTGAAAATTAATTTTTGAAAAAAAATTTTTACTAATTGTTAAAACGCGTAAACTTCACAGGGAACTTCAGATCATGACATACTTTGCGAAACATGTGGTGAAAGAATGGCTCAGTGTATTGGCCATTTCGGTTATGTCAAGCTGGTTTTACCAGTATTTCACATTGGTTATTTTAAAGCTGTTATCAGTATGTTGCAAAATATTTGTAAGGTATTTATTTTTTTTAAATATTATTAAGATCTATGTATCTGCTTAACGAGAATAAAAAGGTTTAATAAATTTTAATTTTTTCATAAAATTAGTCATGTAGTCACGTCTTACTGGAAGAAGACGATAGGCGATCATATTTGAAACGAATAAGAAGTTGTAAAGAGTCTTCAGCACGTGCAAAATTAGAAAAGTCTATAAATTTATTATGTAAAAAAATCGTAGAATGTCCATATTGTCGTGCGATTAATGGAGCTGTAAAAAAAGTTGGCGCAATTAAAATTGTTCACGAAAAGTTTAAACCAAAGAAAGCGGTTAATGAACAAGAAATTTTCAAAAGTACTTTCATTAACGCTGTAGAGACCATGCCAGAATTAAAAGCGCATTTACATAAGGCACAAGAAGATCTGAATGCGATGAAAGTACTCGATTTATTTAAAAAAATTTCTGATGATGTGAGATAATTAATTTCTTTATATGTAACTTGAACTCGGACCTCAAATTTGGGTATTTATAAAATTTTATACTACAGGATTGTGAACTACTCGGATTGGATCCACAAAACGCGCGGCCTGAACTTTTTATATGGCAACGAATTCCAGTACCACCTGTCGCAATTCGTCCTTCAATTGCTCAAGATAACGCGAGGTAATGCTTTAATACGAAATAATTATCGCTTATTTTTCTGACATTATTATGTAACTACATTATTATTTTCAACCCTCCAACTTTTTTATTCGGGTTTTCCAAATTCTCTTATTATTGCAATAATTAAGTAGATTCCTTATTATTTAATATTTATAGCACAGAAGATGATTTGACTGTGAAATTATCGGAAATTGTCCAGACGAATACTAATATTGCTGCAGCTTTGAGTAAAGGAATTACTATCTCACAGTTGGTGGTACGTAATAATTTATTATGAGTCTTTTAAATATGTTTAAAATAGAGTTTACTCTACCCAGGTATTATTAAAATACCCGGGTTATCCGGGTAAGTCATTATAGATTTCGATTAGCCGTTGTATATAGCAACAATTTCTACCCGGGTACGATTACTAGTTTAAAAAAATTATTTTTTTATTAAATCTTTCTTGTTTGATCCATTATAATAGGAACAATGGGATTATTTGCAGCTAACAGTCGCAATGTACATTAACAGTGAAATGCCAGGACTTGGGAATATGGCGGTAATTTTCAATAACATACTCTCATTTTGATTTCTCTCATTTTGATTTAGTGAATGCTGTCAATTAATTTAAGTTCACGATATCGTATTCAGGTAACAAAGCCGAGTAGGGGTTTATGCCAGCGATTAAAAGGAAAGCAAGGAAGATTTCGTGGAAATTTATCTGGAAAACGTGTTGACTTTTCAGGCAGAACAGTAATTTCACCTGATCCTAATTTGCGAATTGATGAGGCATGTTTCATTGAAATTATATGTTATATACAAGAATCATACAACTGTTTGCATAAAGTGATTATTTTTATTTGGTATTATTAGGTAGCAGTACCTGAGCTAGTTGCGAAGATTTTGACTTATCCGGAAAGAGTATTTGCACATAATATAGAGAAATTACGCAAGTGTATAATGAATGGTTCAGATGTACATCCTGGTGCAAATTTCGTCAAAAATATGTCCGGAGGGAAAAGGTAACGTATCCTTTATTATATCCATTAAATATAAATAATTGAATCTACATTTAGGTCTTTGTAATTTTATATTAGATACCTTAAATACGCAGATCAATCAGCAAAAGATGCATGTGCTGCTGAACTACAAATTGGTGATGTAGTAGAACGTCATTTGAGGGATGGCGACGTGGTCTTATTTAACCGACAACCTTCTCTTCATAAACTTAGTATAATGGCACACTATGTAATGCATTTTTATTTTATAAATAAATTTCTTTTTTTATATATATATTTTTATCTAACTTTTATTTTATGAATTGATAGGTTCGTGTCAAGCCGTGGCGAACATTTCGTTTCAACGAATGTGTATGTACGCCTTATAATGCCGATTTTGATGGTGATGAAATGAATCTTCATGTTCCTCAAACAGAAGAAGCGCGTGTTGAAGCAATAGAGTTAATGGGTGTCAAGAACAACTTGGTTACACCAAGGAATGGTGATCCAATCATTGCTGCCATTCAGGACTTTATAACTTCTTCGTATTTAATTACGAAGAAAGACGTATTTTATAATCGTGCTCAATTTACACAAATTTGTTCATATATGGCGGATGCTGACTTACATATAGATATTCCATCACCAGCAATACATAAGCCAGTAAAACTTTGGACGGGCAAACAAATTTTTAATGTTTTAATGCGTCCAAATAAGAGTTCATCAGTTTTGGTCAATCTCGAAAGTAAAGGTCGATCATTTGAAAAATGTGAAGGCAGAGCACCAGATATGTGCCCAAATGAAGGTTATGTTGTTATTCAGAATAGTGAAATAATGTGTGGTGCAATAGACAAATCTCTAGTGGGTGATGGTAATAAGCATTCACTATTTTATACTATTCTTCGTGATTATGGTGCTGTGCAAGCCGCTTATGCAATGAACCGTTTATCCAAATTATGCTCCCGATGGTTGGGTAAATATTTATTTGACTTACAAATTCTCATTTCATCCTTTAATAAAATTTATATCTTTTTTTTTTTCAAAAGCCAATAGAGGTTTCTCCATTGGAATTAATGATGTACAACCTGGGGAAATATTACGGGAGAAAAAAGATAGGCTCATTGCAGATGCAAATAAAGCGTGTGATGATCTCATTGAACGGTCCAAATCCGGGAAACTTGAGAATCAACCTGGTTGCAATGAGGAACAAACATTGGAGGTAAGTTATCAATACATCTTTTATTGTGTATTTGTATTAAGATACTTTAATAATATTGCCTTTTAATTAATAGGCACATATATCTGGAATATTGTCAAGGGTTCGTGATGATGCTGGTCAAATTTGCATGACGGAATTAAGTAAAAATAATGCACCTTTAATAATGGCTACGTGTGGCTCTAAGGGTACGTCTGTCTAGTGTTTTGTATAGAGTTTTTATTTCTCTTATAACGAAGCCGGTTGACACAAAAATAAAATCGGCTTCAAATTTTGTGTCTGTCCTTACTTCAAATATTTAACATTCTTTTTGCTGATGGTTTGCATGTTTTAGGTTCGAAAATTAATGTGTCTCAGATGGTTGCCTGTGTTGGTCAACAGATCATTAGTGGGAGTCGAATTCCAGACGGATTTCAAGATCGTTCTTTACCACATTTTCCTAAACATTGTAGGTTTCAATCGATTCGTTACATTTTCCTTTATTTTTATTAACTAAATAATAAAAAATATACATACATTATATATTGTAGCTAAGACTCCGGCTGCTCGCGGTTTTGTCAGAAATAGCTTTTATAGCGGATTAACTCCTACTGAATTTCTTTTTCATGCTATATCTGGCAGAGAGGGTCTTGTAGACACCGCTGTCAAGACTGCAGAAACTGGTTATATGCAAAGGAAGCTGATGAAAGTATATATATTTTTATCAAATTATTTTTTTTAAATGTTTTACGAACTATATTTGTTTCTATTCTTACGTTAAATGAAATTTTCATTAGGCTTTAGAAGACCTTGCTATCCATTACGATATGTCAGTTAGAAATTCTTCAGGTGGACTTGTACAATTTTGTTATGGTGACGATGGATTGGATCCCGCATATTTAGAAGATGAAGTTCTCCCAGTAGATTTTAAACGTAATTTACAACATATAATTGTATGTCATAATAACTTTATCAAATATCGTGCAGTAATAACTTCAAAACTGAAAAAGCATTTTTAACATTTTGTATTCTAGAATACTACGCCATGGGGTAACAAACCTGGTCTCTTACCATACGAAATAAAAGAAGTTATGGATTCTGTGCTAGATAGCGATGAATATCGCAAGTGCTGCACTCTAGCATACATAGAATCTGTACAAAAGTTTATTCATCAAGAATTAATTGAAAAACTTGTTTCAATACGTGATTACTATGGCTTAATACGAGCTGATGAAAGACCTAACGATGAATATAGTGATATAGATCCCAATTTCATAGGACCAGGTATATTAATTGCGCTCATTGTTATTAATAGTGTTATTAAATACTGTTAATTCATATTAATCTTTTAACTACTTGTTATTAAAGCTTCTGTAAAGGCAGTTGTTGATCATAAACTTAAAATTACTGAAAATCAACTACGAAAATTTTTGAATATATGCTTACAAAAATTTGTGAAAGCAATGATTGAACCAGGTTTGCTATTGTTTTATCCCCTGTATTATATGAATTTTGTACGTATGAATTAACCTTAATTCATTTGTAGGAACTGCCGTTGGTGCATTAGGTGCTCAATCTATAGGTGAACCTGGTACTCAAATGACATTAAAGACTTTCCATTTTGCTGGTGTTGCATCCATGAACATCACTCTCGGAGTACCACGTATAAAGGAAATTATAAATGCTTCAAAAACGATCAGTACACCAATTATTACTTGCAAACTAGTTAATGATTCTGATGTAAAGTCTGCCAGAATCGTTAAAGGGCGATTAGAAACAACCTACCTAGGAGATGTAAGTTTTCATATTTTTTTTATATTTAACCTCGTAGTTGTTCCCGTTAAATTCTTATAATCTTTTTCTGACTTCAAACACTTAGATTGCGAAATATATTGATGAGATTTATGAACGAGACTCCTGTTATCTTGCTATAAAACTTGATTTAGACGCCATACAAAAGCTTCAGGTTCGACGAAATCTTTAGTCTTTTATTTGAATTCCAAAAAAAAAAACTTATGTATTTATAAAATCATTCCTTGACACCACAATAATTTTTAGCTGGAAACAAATATTAAAGAAATATCGCGAGCTATTCTTAATGACCGAAAGTTGAAATTAGAAATTGTAATTTTTATAATTTATTTTGTATATGTATTATTATGATTTATATGGTTAAGACTATCTCACAAGTGCATTTAATAACTATCATTAGCAAGGAATTCGGATAATAGCTAACGACGAAATTGATGTATATGTTCCAGAAAAAGATAGTTCAAAGAAACTGGAACTAGATAGACTTTATTTTCGTTTGCAAGTCTTGAAACGGGCATTACCTAAAGTTATAATTAAGGTAAATTGTAATTGAAACTTTGATTATTTAATTTTCCAATACTGTTCTCATAATTTAATATAATTTTATAGGGTATTCAAACAGTGACAAGAGCAGTCATAAGTGAAGCCAAGGCGGGTAAAAAACAATTACTTGTCGAAGGTTACGGTCTTCGAGAAGTAATGACAACTGAAGGTAAATGCCAATTTGGACAAATATTTGCATTAAATATGACGAGTTAATTTATTTAATATATATTACAGGTATATTTGGTACAGAGACAACCAGCAATAACGTCAATGAAGTAAATAAAGTTTTGGGAATAGAAGCAGCTAGGTTCGCAGTCTGATTACCAATCTTAAAAATTTTATCTTGGCACCAATTTATAAATTATTTTAATATTCATGCAATAGAAATACGATTATTCAAGAAATTCAATATACCATGGGTCGTCACGGAATGAGTATTGATCCACGGCATGTAATGTTGCTTGGAGATATTATGACATATAAGGAAAGTATTTATTCACGACTATTGTCACGGCTATTTCTGAAATTAGCTGACGCTGAAATTTGGATTTAAAAATCTAAAAATTTTTGGGAGGGTATTTAAGAGTATAGGCAAATTTAGTAAGGTTTATACTTACAATGGAAACTTCAAACTTCAGCGTCAGTCGTGGCATTTATTAACATCCGGATTAATATATCCGGATATATACTATGTCATGTGATATAACGTGACATAATGTTTTATATCCGGATTTAAATATATCCGGATTTATACTATGATAAAACCGGATTAATCCGGATATAAAAAATATATCCGGATTGAGGTATTAACTCTATAACAGTACATAGGAAATAACATCAATTTTATCAAAATTTTAGGGAGAAGTATTGGGAATTCACCGATTTGGTATTTCAAACATGAAGAGTAGCGTTCTTATGTTAGCTTCGTTTGAAAAGACGACAGACCATCTTTTTGATGCTGCTTTGCATAGCAAACGTGATTGTCTTGAAGGTGTGAGCGAGTCTATTATCATGGGAATGCCTATGCAACTTGGAACTGGATTGTTCAAATTGATAAGAAAGTCTCATCTTGGTGATGAAAAACCTCAGAGAAGAAAGTTAATATTCGACTCCCGTGAGCACCATTTAAAATTCTTATACTCTGATGAGCAATGTTAATTAGGTTGGTAAAGTCCTTAGGTCCGAGACTTTAGGACATAGTCTTTAAATCTGGTCTTTAAACCTGGTCTTTAAACCTGGTCTTTAAACCTGGTCTTTAAAGACCAAGTCCAAATTTAAGTACCTAGGGTCCTTAGATCTTTAAAAATTCCTAATATACAAATTTATAATAGTTTAAAATGAAGTTATAATTTATTAAAAATAATAAAATTCAGCTCAACTGCAAATTTTTGCTATTACATAATTCTGGACAGCCTAATCAATATTTATACAGTATAATTTTTTAAATGATTAGTTTAAGATTATAATTGTTTATTTAATGTATATATAGTTTACATAATATTGTTATGGTCTGGTGCAAAAAGATTTGTATTTTAAAAAATTTTTTAATTTTGTTTCTTAATAAAAGTTTTTAAATTTTTGATTAATAGACCACTTATCTAATTAGAAATCTTAAAAATCTGGTAAATAATTCTCACTTTTACATATCTCTTTTATTTTTTCAGGCTATCTATCTGATTAGGGCCTTAAAATTTGGTGAGCAATTCTCATTCTTACATATCTCTTTTGTTTTTTTTTTATGAATCCAGTGTTTTTTGAGCCATTTATCTTTAAAATTTGGTAAGCAATTCAATATTTTCAGGCTATTCATTTTTAAAATTTGGTGAGCAATTCTCACTCTTATATACTTCTTTAGTTTTTTTTTATAAATCTGGCATTTTTCAGGCTATCTATCTGATTATGGCTTTAAAATTTGGTGAGTAATTCTCATTTTCACATATCTCTTTGGTTTTTTTTTTATAAATCTGGTATTTTTCAGGCTATCTATCTAATTATAGTCTTAAAATTTGGTAAGCAATTCTTACTCTCACATACCTTCTTTATTTTTTTTTATGAATCCAGCTATTCATCTGATTATAGCTTTAAAATTTGGTGAGTAATTTTCACTCTCACATATCTCTTTTGGTTTTTTTTTATGAATCTGATTATAGCTTTAAAATTCAGTAAGCAATTCTTACTCTAACATATCTTTTGGGTTTTTTTTTTATAAATTTGGCATTTTTTGGGCTATCTATCTAATTATGGCTTTAAAATTTGGTGAGTAATTTTTATTTTCACATATCTTTTTTAGTTTTTTTTTTATAAATCTGGCATTTTTCAGGCTATCTATCTAATTATAGTCTTAAAATTTAATGAGCAATTCTCCATCGGGAGAATTAAATAAGTGCAAATCTGCAAAAACCTGCAAAAATACAGATTTTTGCAGAATTTTTTGCAAAAAAACTGCAAAATTTCCTATATTTTGAAATTTTATGCAAAACTGTATTTAATTTCTATAGCTATAGCTAGTAAGTCTAAAGTTTTGCACAGATTTTCATTTAATATATTATTTAATTTTTTTGCAAATCTGCACAGAACAGCACTAAAAAATTTTTTCTGATGTCACTCTCACATACCTCTTTCAGTTTTTTTTATGAATCTGGCTATTCATCTGATTATGGCTTTAAAATTTAGTGAGCAATTCTTATTCTCATATATCTCTTTTGTTTTTTTTTATGAATCTGTTATTTTTCAAGCTACAGTATTTGCAACTAATACTAATTATACAATACTAAAATTACTAACTTACTTGTTAGTTATATTACAAACTATCTACTTCAAGTAATATAATAATTTAGATATTGTAAAATTATAAAAATACTATAAAACTAAGAGTAAGATATCAGCATAGGTTGAATCATTGAATATCAAGTGTATACCGGAAGATAAGTTTTCTGGTTTGTACCTGATAGTCTGCTATAAATCCGCCAAATACATACCTGCTGAATATCAGCAACATATGTGCAACATATTGGTAAGATATCGGGAAATAGATCGATATCGGTAATATAACAGTACAATATTAGGATACCCTGATATCTTACTCTTAGCATTCTGGGCCTAAAAGATATCTGGATATCCCAATATTTTGCTGTTATGTTGCTAATATCAATCTACCTCCTGATATCTTACCAATATTCTGCCTATTATTCAGCAGTTATTTGGCAGATCTATGACAGGCTATTGGGTACATAACAGGAAACTTATCTCCCGGTATGCATACGATATCCATTGATTCAACCTGTGTATAGTGGTTATAATAATTTTGTAAAAAATTTTCTAGCTATTTTTATTAATAATTTTAAAAAAAATTATTTATAACAACTTGTAATATAACAACTTTAGTATTAGCTAATTATAGTATATTAAGATAAAAAAACTTAAACTGCTTATTACAAATACAAAGTATGTATATACTATTATAAAACAGGCTTTTACAATATAAAGTAGTTTAGCATAGTTACATTTTATAGTTTATTTTATATTTTATATTATATATTTACTGTATTAACTTGTATTTTATACCAGATATCTATTATATTTGTAATATATTATTATTATTATAAATATTTAACAGAGAGTTTAAGCCTACTGTGGCTAAAGTTATATATGACTCTCTACTTCCTCAACTATACCTTCAACTCTCTTAACATAGTCCTCAATTCTCTTAACATATCTCATCTCCCTCAACTCCTTTTACTCACTAAACACAGCTCTCAACTTCCTCAACACAACCTTCAACTCCCTCAAGTACAATGTTATATTACTCTTAATTTTCTTTTCTATTTTGTAAAAGGTATATACTATAAAAAGAGTATAAATCTCTTCTTGTAAAGATAGATCTTATACAAATATTTATAGGTTTTTATATAGGTTTTAACAAGTATCTAGTTAGAAACTATTATTTCTTTCTTATAAAATTAGTTTTGTAATTTTTTCTTATAATGTATACAGTAACTTTCTTTAGAATCTTTAGATGAGATTATTCTCTTGTTTTATAATAAATAAAGATTAAAAATACACTATCTTAATACCGAACTATTTGCTTTCTGCTATGGATACTTAAGTGTACTTCACATCTACTCATATATATTCCAATAACAAAATAGAACCCCGAACATCTCTATTATAGGTTATAATTGATCTGCATAAATTTAAAGGTTTTGCTATCCTTAAAATCAAATAAATTTGTTAAAAATTCAATTATTATATATAAAATTAGTCTAATTTGAAGTGTGGTGACTTAGTGTAGTGGTCTAATCATCACCCTCTCCAAGTGGCAGGTCTAGAGTTTGAATCCCATGAACAACAAATTTTGAAAAATAGGCTTGTGTTATGGTTGACGGTTATGATTATCGGTTGGATCTTAGATAAATCTGTAACTTTGGTCACACTATCTAGTAATGGGAGCAATGGCACAATAAAGCCGAGGAACCGGAATAACCGAAAACCCATTTGGAAAGTCCTGAGCTAAGGAATAGCGATGATCTACAACGGTACTACATGAGAGCTGAATTTGAACTGGGGCCTGAGATCAGAAAACTGAACGACCAGGTCCTAATGGCGAAGGATATACCAGCTGAATCGCCAGGTTCTGTCACACCGGAAGAAAAGGGCATATGCTTCAAAAGTATGTACCAAGAGGAGGGCGTCCTTTAGGCATCTAAGGCCTGGGCAGACCAACCCTTCCAGGTTGCTGGCTGGAAGTAAGAGAGAGACCGATAAAGAATCCGAGTAAGAAGATAGTACCAAATATAGGTATTGGGGTTATTGTGAACCTTAATAAGGGCAAGAAGTAGGTAATAGTCAACTTACTTGGAAAGGTTGTAGCTTGAGATATGGACTGGGTTACAGCAGCATCCTAAAAGATGGCTTGAGGTATAAATTCAGTGTTGGCAGCATAACAGGTACTAAAGTTGGTTACAAGGGGTTTAATGATTAGCTCTAATCCCAAGTGCATAGGTTAAGCTGTGGTGTAAAATTACCGAAGTCTGGGTGAGGCACATGAGTGGAACAGGTGCCTCAGCAAATAGGCGAGCATGTCTTACTATTGATCTGGAGGGTAACCCCTAGTAAGTTAGGGGCCGAAGGGAAGATAAAACGTTGCTAAACGGTTATATATAAGCACCTTAGAGCAGCTGTGTGATGCTTTATACACGAATGGGGGTACTAGATCTGGGAACTGCAACACTGCGAGGGGAGGGACCCGGGATATATAGAAATATATAGACTAGGCTTTGTACTACCTTGTAATATACTTAACTGTTCAGACATAATAAAGTGGTTACCGTTGAAACCAAAAAAAAAATTAGTCTAATTTGCTAAAAATTAAATTATCACATCTATTTTTAATAAATATAAAATTAAATATGCTGAAATAATATATTTCTATGTGCTGAACAAGTTTACTTAGAATCAATTAGTAAAATTTTGAAATCATAGCATTTTTTAGTATTTTTATTGATAAAATTATATAAAATATTAAGATTCTCAAAATTTTACTAATTGATTATAACTTTATACTCTAATAAGCCTTGTTCAGCACATAAAAATACATTATTCTGGCATATTTGATTTTATATTTCCTGAAAAGTTAAGAGAAGATGCTTAATTTTGAATATTTTGATTAAAATATCCAAAATTAAGCATCTTTTTTTAAATTTTCAGGAAATATAAAATTAAATATATCGAAATAATGTATTTTTGTGTGCTGAACAAGGCTTATTAGAGCATAAAGTTATAATCAATTAGTAAAATTTTGAGAATCTTAATATTGTATATAATTTTATTAATAAAAATACTAAAATTCTCAAAATTTTACTAATTGATTCTAACTTTATACTCTAATAAACCTTGTTTAGTATACAAAACTACATCATGCCAGCATATTTAATTTTATATTGTATAAAAATTTAAGAAAAGATGCTTAATTTTGGATATTTTGATTAAAATATCTAAAATTAAACATTTTCTCTTAAATTTTTAGGAAATATAAAATTAAATATGCTAGCATAATGTAGTTTTGTGTGCTGAACAAGGTTTATTGAGCATAAAGTTAGAATAAACTAAGAAACAGGATCTTTAAAAGTCTGAAGCATAACTATTAACTATAAATTTTA